CGACAAAACACTGATCAAATACAAACTCAAACCCATTAGATCTTAGAGATAAGATGCATGATAATTATATGAAATTCAGGGTTCTGGAAAAAAGATCCAATTACGCAAATCTGCTCTACAAACCCTGAGTTAAAATTAATGATTTCATATAATACGAAATTTTATTGCAAAATATATAAGTTTATTTAAGCTCCTAATTAAGGTTCTAATTTTGAACATTCTAAGCATTTATAATTACTTATTACAGCTAACCATGTAATTTATATATGTCGGTCGGCAATCACATGCTCGTAAAAGACTAACGAATTAATCAGCGATAATTCATAAATGAAATCTTTTATTTATGCGTTAAATAGAGCCGTTCTATTTTACTTTTCAGTTATAAAGACATTGTTAAAATCATTATCATCACCCGTATTTATCTATTAACCCAACGAGTTAAGTAATTTTTAGCTGTTTGAAGAAATCGGTCTTTGTAAAAACTAAAATAGATTTAAGCTCTCCATATTGTGAAGAACTATATCAAAAAGTCTAATTAGTTTCACTATAAATTAATAAGTTATATATCGTCCTGTGATCCTTTCCTGGTCAATAATAATTGTAGAATTTATAGTCGACTGACCTTCCTTATTGCGTGTTCATTGTCATATGTTTGTTTATAATACGTATAAATAACTTCATTAATGTAACTTACCTGTATTTTGAGCAATTATACGTATTTACATATACAGTATGAAGGATTTATGTAATCTTCACGTGAAATATCTATCACATAATTATATTGAATTACGTAAAAACATTCAAAACTTCCTTTAAAAAAAACGATTTAAAGAAGCATGATCACTAAATTCCATGTACTGTACTTATGATGTTCTCATCTTAATAAAAACATTTCATATACATTTTATGTACATTTTGAACTTTTTAATTAAAGCAATCTGATTAAAAATGTATTATACTTATAAATAAGACAATTTGTATTAGTTTAGATTAAATAGATACACCGCGATATGGTAACATGTCATAATAGTTGTACATTGCTATTCTTGAATGTGTGCCAGGTTGATGGCACATTAACCAGCCACAATGATCTTTTTTATTTCAGTGTGTACAGTGTATTCGTAAAGTTTCTTTTTCAACGAGACGTGTTTCTGTACTTTGAATGTTTTCTATTTTTCTTTTGTGAATTGAAGACATAACAGAAATAATATAATTTTTAAAATTTTTAATTCGTTTATTATAAAAAGGTACTTACTTAGTATGTACTAGAGTATATTACAATAATTTCGGAAGTATGTAAGGACAACAAAGCTTATAAATTTTAATTATAAAAGTAAACGTCTTTAACATTAAGGAACACTATTATTATTCTTTTTTAAGATATGATTCAGCGTAGATTATGAGAAACCTTTTTTTTATTTAAAGATTTTTTTTTGTAAACTATATAGTACGTGTTTATTTGAGATTTATTATATACTTTTAAAGTCAATATTTTTTTTTATGTACGTATTATATTAAGAACTTTGACGTTTTGGTCCGTAAAAATTTTCAAAATTATAATTTATAAACATTATAATAGTAAAGAATACAACTATTTTTTGAATTCAAACCAATAATATTAGAGGCTAAAGATTATGAAAAAAAATGAAGGGAAACGTGCTTTTTAGAAAATAACATAATTCGAGTAGAATAACGTTAAAAAATGGTGTTTTCTTTCTATTAAAATTTATAGTTTTACTATTGTTATCATTGGAATTTTATTTATTTGGCGCAAATTGATTAATGCGCCACCAATTCAAGAATTGCCTGTACATTAATAATTCATTTAATGCATAATCTTTGCCAACATTTTATGCCATTTGAATATTTATTAACCGTATTTACTCGAAATAACGCGCACCTGCGCGTTATTTCGAGTACGCGCATGGGCGTTATTTCGGGGTAAAAATCTAATTTCTACAAAATTGATGCGTTATATATGTATGATGCATAACAAGCTGGTATTTCTTAATTTTATATACAGCCTTTCCGATCTAAATAAGATTTTTTAACTTAAAAATTCTTGTTCCTGCTTGTTATCACAATTCGTCATTTCAACAGATTATTAATTTGCCATGTGGAGTGTGTGTCATTTCGGGACGCACATGAGCGTTATTTCGAAACCAACTATCACTGGCTAAAAAACACATTTTAAAAAATAATAACCAGTTATTTCTAGTACAAATAATAACTTATTTACTATATAATTACTAGATATTTTTGTAGTTTAATCTATTTTTAGCCATTATGCTTAAACACATATATTACCTAGTAATTATATAGTAAATAAGAGTAAATAAGTTATTATTTGTACTAGAAATAACTAGTTATTATTTAGTTAAAAAATGATTTTTTAACCAGTGTATGCTATTTTAAGGAAATGCAATTTTCGAAATAACGCCCATGTGCGTTATTTCGAGTAAATACGGTATATTATCAATTGCGCAAAAATATGAGCTCTTCGCTCAGCTAAAAAATAATCAATATTACATAGTTAGTCTTAAGATATTAGTCATTTTAACTCATAATTTTTTTAAATTAGAATTGATCCTCATTTAGAAACAATTTTTGATTTAATCATTCTAGAATACTTAATTATATTAATGACTTTTTTAAAATGCTTAAAAATAAAATTCTTAACTATAAAAATAAGACAAAATAGTATAGAAAAATGTTATGATTCATTTTATCCTAAAAGAATTGATTTGTAAATCCATGCAACATATAAATTTATAAAAAAAAAACACTTAATATTAGGTTTAGGTTAGGGGGTAGGGTTAGATAGTATTTTATACTAAAAATTTGCATAAATTATTTTTTGTTGGAGTACGGATTTAAAATAATTCGGATAACATGTGTAACTCACATGCATAAAAATTGTAAAAATTTCAAATACCAAATAAATAAATAGAAAATGCCGGATAAGATTATTTATTTACAGTAAATGCGTTTGATAATTGATAATTTTAACTTTTGGGGGATGCCTAAAGCCGTGTCAGCCATATGGTTTTGAATATTTGATTAAAATTAGGGTAAGGGTTAGCCCGGGGCTAGGGTTAGGAGTTGCTTTGTAGTAAAATTGCCTTCCCGACATTTTTTGTTAATAACTTGAGACAGGTTTAGACACTCGTTTTCTTGTATTTTTTGCGTTTTGCAGTTCTTTTTCCCTCTTCGGGTTCATCCGCGTTCCATCAAAATAATATATAGTTATTGGACCAATAACAGAATTATTTGCAAAATGATTCATTTTACCTGGCTGCGTACATACGGTTTTATCGGGTGACCGAACCAACTTAATAATTTGAGTTCTTTTGATGATAACTGTGTCATTATCAAATAACGAAGTTATTTGATGATGATGCAATTATCACCAAAATAATTCGGATTATTCTGGTGGTACGATCATAGTAAGCTGCCGAATTATCTACTTTATTGGCTCTATGTCATATGATTTGACACGATCCTTTTTTTGGCAATTGTAGAAAGTTGAGTCACGTGAATCTTGTGGCATAAACAAATCAATTTCAAGATCAGGTAACGTTACACAATCAGAGATTCAAAATAAACGTTTGCATCTGTTTCTCAAAAAGCAGCATCATAAACTACCTTTAATGCTCGAACAAAAAGTTTTCCTTGAGCGATTTTACTATTAAAGCTCGTCTAACCCTTACCCTAATCTTAATCGGCATTTAATTTTTTTTTTATACAAATTGTTTCGATAAATTAATACCTGTGTACTATACACTATGTGTAAAATTAGAAATTTTCTATTATATTTTTATTACTGTAGTTAATGTAAATTCTCGAAATAGCGGGCAGGGCGTTGTTTTGAAAATCGCTCCCTAAAAATAGTATAGGTGGTTTCGAAATAACGCCCATACGCGTCCCGAAATAACGCGTACCTCGAAGAGCAAGTATCAGGTAAATATCGGAATACAAAACTCCGACAAGCACCTGATTTACCACTAAATATAGCATAACAGTAGCATATCAGAAGTCTTGTATCCGATATTTACCTGATACCTATTTATTCGATCTGTTTATAACATTAGTGACAATCGGATTGCAGATTTAATATATCTCTAAATAACGCCCATGGGCGTATTCGAAATAATGCGCACGTAGTCAAAATAGCGCGCAGATGCCCGCTATTTCGAGAATTTACGGTAGGCAAATAAATGGTATTGTTATCAAGTAATTTATATTAATAGTTTCTACAAAAATAAAAAAACGCTTGTTGCGTTATGTATAATTAATTATCTAATCAAGTCCAATTATATTTTGCATTATTTCTCAATTAAAGTTCATAAAGTAATAATATCTTTTCTTTTGAATATGCATAGAATCCCACTTTTAAATTTCTATATAAAATTTTAAAAGTTAAATTTGATAGCCTCATTGCACTGAAGATATGAATATAAATACATTGGAATAAGGAATACGGCGTATAATAAATGATAATCTGTTATTTACTTTTGCGTATATACTGTTTAAATTAAAGCCTGTAAGTATCAAAATTTTCATATAAATATCTGTGTGACAAATAATTTAGGTTAATTTTTTAAAATACCAATTATATTTAATATATGGCAATTCATATAATTTATTGTATATGTCGATACGACGAAAGCTTAAATTTGTTATTTACGGGGTTTACCCCATTTTATACATATTTAACTTCCTCATTAGGAGTTTGTCTTGCCAGAGTGATTTAATGTATTGGATTCAGAGATAAGCGGATGCGAGTTCATTTAAAGAGTTAAAATTTTAAAGTAGTAATTATGATGATCTATAAACAATAAATATCTCAGAAAAGAATCTTAGATATTTGTCTCATGAAATTCTATTATTACTTTTTAGAGAATACTTAAAAAGGATTCTCTGTATTACATTAATTCGAATAAAAGTTGAGCTTTCATCTCTTCCTCCAAATTTTATTAAAAGAAAAATATTTTTAAACTATGAATCAAGCATCCAATAGCCAACAACAAATATCCCAAAATTCTAATGGGCCACAGAATGGTGGCCGAAGCCAAATGCTCTTAAACATTGGTAGGCAACTATCAAACCGTCAAGAAACTACCAGTACATTCAATTCTGATCAACGATACGAAGATTTAGTCAACGGTGCAAATCCTTTTAATGAATTGCAAAGTGCAGAAATTTTTACAGAGAATACTCAGTACGATTTGTTTTCGGGATTTTCTTTCACATAAATAAATAAAATTATGTGCATAAAGGAACTTTTTAAGATAAAATGAATTATAACATTTTACCATACTATTTTATGTCTTATTTTTATAGGTAAGAATTTTATTTTTAAGCTTTTTAAAAATTTTCATTAATAGAATGAAATATTCTAGAATGATTAGGTCAAAAACCGTTTCTAAAAATTATGAATTAAAATAACTGATATCTTAAGACTATTATGTAATATTAATTATTTTTTATCTGAGCGAAGAGCTCATATTTTTACGCAATTGATAATATAAATAAATATTCAAATGCCATAAAATGGTGGCAAAGATTATGCATTAAATTAATTAGTAGTGTATCAACTTTTACCATGTTGCAGTGTATCTATTTAATCTAAACTAATACAAATTCTCTTATTTATAAGTATAAACGATTTTAGTTAAAAGTTAAAGTACAATTATGATGATTTATAGACAATAAATATCACAGAAGAAAATCTTAGAAATTTGCTCGTGAAATCTTCCTTGTAATATTAAGCAATATACTAATCTAAGTTATAAGTGTGATCCGAAGCGACAACATATCTAAAAACTAATTTCTGAAAAGATAATCTGAAAATCAAAATTGAAACGCGAAATTATATTTCAAATTTTTAATTTTGAGAAATTTAAGTCTTTTCGGAATTAGAAAAGGTTTCGGGTTACAAGTATAATTAATTGTTAGAGCCAATTGTGTGAAAGCTATTAGTAAGGCCTTGTAATACGAGAAATTTAGCGACGAATTCGTGCATGTGGAATAGGCATTTGACTGAAAAATATGAAGCATTGTACTGTTGAATTGGACTATGGTATTCAAGAATGTGATAACGATTAAATAAAAATTTTTTAAAAATTTCTTGAAACGTTATTTTTGTGATTTGATAGTAAAGCGTTCCACAAAAAACATCGCTTAAAAGCATTCTATAAATAATTGTCGCAGCTGATGCTGAAATTTGAGGTCTCTATTTAAATCGGGACACTTTAAGAACAGTTAACCCAGTGATCGACAATCATTTGATAAACATATCATGACGTCATTTGTTTACCAGAATTAAATAAACTGGCCTAAACTATATCCTAAATTAACCCTAAACTAACCCTAAACTAACCCTAACTTAGGCCGAAGATGATCATGTGATATTGTGATGATCACTGGGTTAACTCTTCTTAAATCTTCCCTTTAAATCTATAATACCTACTAAAATCCACATATACTTTTTTATTAATAAAACTACCCTACTAATCCTAACCTAACTATGAAAAAAAAGTGTAAAAAAATTTTTTATAATTTTATAATAAAATATGAAAAAATTTCAGCATCAGCTGCGACAATAATTATTGAATAAACTATGATTGTTATAAAATTTCCTTATTTGATTAACTAATACAGTAAATCCCATTACAGCATTATCGGCGGTCGGTTTGCAAAGGTCGCTGCACATTCCACAAATCACTTGAACAATCGCCCGGTTACAAAATGACTTTTTAGTGAGCATATATCTGGCTGACAGATTTTAAGAAAATAATACTAATATTGGATCTTTGACCAGAAGACGCACTTTCAATCATTTACAATCACGTATTCGGCGATTTACTAATTTGCGCCGGTAACACAAACCAAAAAAGGAAATCAATTTTGTAAATAAACTAAATGCGTAAAAATAGAAGTTTAGGATTAGGACGTTATGGTTGTGAGCTTTGTAGGTTTGTTGGCGCAAGGTAGATGGCGTTGCCATTGGCATTTTAAAATCGGGCGTGCCATGGCATGCCAATTTAGGTGTGGCGCAAGGGTGGCGAGCCAATCACAATAAAGCTTAGTTCTAGCATAAAAAAAACAAGTTTAGCGTCACCATTACTGCTATATAATTTTTTGATTAGTGATAACACATTAAACAAATACATAATTGGAAAGTATGCAGCTATGCCTTTGATTAGCTAAAGTTTAAATTAGATAGCTATGCAATATATTTATGCAAAAATCCGGAACAGATGTATTTAAGGTCAGGTTAGCTTGCATCGAATTATCATGACTTCTATTATGAGTTTAAGTAAAATTTACTTGTAGTTAAAGTCAAGTTAGTTTGTATTGCAATTACCATCATAAATTACTGTATAACATGTTGTTACAAAATTTACTTGCCACTCCAGTAATCATATGTGGTAAATTAGCTTGTATCTGAATTATCATAATTTTCCATTTAAAATAACATGCATGTTAATTAAATTTTCTAACATGAGGCGATTAACAAGGATGGCAAATCAAAAATCAATACTGAATTGAATATCGATGTTGAAGAAAAATCTTTGTTGAAGGAAAATTAATGCTGAAGGAAAATTGATGCTGAAAGAAAATTGATGCTGAAGGTGAATAGATAATCAAGGCTTTTTTTTTTAAAAAAAGTTTTTTTTATTTTTTTTCTTAAGCTAAATTTTTTTTTTTCTTTTTCTTTTTAACCGCATTTTTTGTTTTTTTTTTTCTAAGCTAATTTTGTTTGTTTTTCTTTTTACCCTGTTTTTTTGAATTTTTTTTTTTTCTGATATAAAATTTAGATTGTATAAAATGCACATAATTACAAAACATGTGCATTAATATATATGATTAAGAAATCATGTGCATATATAAAACCAATCTCTAGTATGTAGTCAAGGTAAAAGTTAATTTTATTTGGAATTTTTTGATTTTATAATAAATTACTGTAAAAAATTTCTTTGCTGAACTTACTATTCTATATAAATAATTTGTTTAAAGCTAAAATTTATTGGTAATCTTATAAATGGTGCACCATATGGCATGCCTTGTGCCAAAAAATATCAATGGCATGCCACTAAAAAATATTTGCGCCAACAACCCTAGAGCTTTGGCAATAAGTTGGTGTTTCTTATATGTAAAATTTCATCACTGTTATTTTTTATTAGTTCACAAAGGTCAATTTAAACACTAGTTTTTGAGTATTTTTGCTTTCTTTGCTTTTTTTCTTCTTTCGCACGTGTTCGAATTCTATGTCAGGCTGATCTGGAATACTCGAAATTTGTGTTCTCTGATTGGCCATTTCCTTTTTAGAGTTTTGTATTACCAGCGCTAATAAGTGGATGCACATATTCAGAATCTTCCCCAGTATTGCCTGAAAATGTTGTAGTCACGTAAGAATCTATATATTCTTTAAAGTTTGTTTAGGTTAGGGTTAGGATGAATTTGGGATAAAGGCAGGGAAAGTAGTTTATACCAAATTTTTGCAGGGAGTTTTTTTATTAATATTTGAAAGGTGGTTTCATAGGCAAAATCTTGAGTTATAAATGATTTTTTAAAGAAAGCAATAATTTGCATTACACCTTGATCGTGTAATCTGATTGGCTTTCTATATACCCGTTTATATACACATAGTGTTCAAATAGAAATTGCCAATATAATATTATCTATATTTGAAGCTTAATGTAAACATATATTTAATAGGTTTTTGTCTAAACATCAGAGCTTATGTTAATAAGTTTTGGTTTACGTTTCTGTATGATCGCATGACAGAGTTTTACATCATAAATATTCCCATTACGGGGAAATAACCTGATAGATCTTTCGGCTAAACATATAACTGGGATTTACCTCTTATTCGTGCAATTTTGAGAATAAATATATAGATATTCATACTTCGTCAGATAAAATAACCATCAGAAAAACTAGATAACTCCCATATACCGCCAATGGGTATGCCAATTGTTATGCTATGCCAATGGAATGCCAAATACTTAAAGCCGATTAGGTATGTTTTTTCCAAATAGAATTATCTGAGCTAGGGTAATTAACTTGACTAAAAAATTTGGCATATCATATGACAGTCATTATCCAAAAGTTTATGTCACTTGACATGTTATAATAATTTTAATAACATTAATAAAATATACAGTATATTATTATGTGCATTAAATTTTTTATCTAGATGAGAGGAAAATTTCTGCAAACGTGCATCTATAGTAGATAATCAATTCTTACTATTTGAGATGCTTAAGGTAATTTTTTAAAATACATAAAGGAGACTAGTGCAATAGGTGGCGCGAAGCACCACCCATCTTATTTGTTTAATTAAATTACTGTTAAAGATTCTTTGCAGAAGTAATTATTTATTGCAATAATTGCATTTTTTAGTTATGACTAATCAAAAACGTTAAAGTGCACGAACTCAGAATTGAGTAATGATAAATCAAAAATGTTAAAACACACAAACTCAGAATTAAATCATGATTCTTAGATACGACCAATCAAAAACATTAAAACGCACAAACTCAGAATTAAAGATATAGATTCTCAGGTACTGTATGACCAATCAAAAGTTTTAAAACGCACAAACTCAGAATTAAAAGTATGAATTATGACTCTGATATTTTTTTTTATTAAGACCTAGCATCAAAAAATTTCGCAGTTAAATTAGGATTAGGATTTGCTATTGAGTTAGGTTGGAAAGGATTTTTTTAATACCAGAATTTCGCAAGGAAAACATTTTTTAGTGTATAGAAAGCAGTTTCATAGGTAAATTTTTTGTGTTTATTCGTGTTACACCTGATTTTGAAATCTGATTGGCTGGTGATTATAGGGTGCTCTGAACATGTATTCAAATTTATTAACTTAATGTACAATTAAGGCCACGCAAAGTTGATTTTTTGTGTTGTACTACTTGCTACCACATTTTTCTAATTTTTTAAAAAAAATTTTTAAGTCTCAACTTTCAATTATTTTATTTTAGCCATTTAATTTTTTTCCATAAATTAATCCGGTATCACCTGGTAGAGAGCTTATTTTCCAAAATTATCTGATAGAACTGATAAAAAAGTTTTGACTACCGATCCAATTTTCTGATTCCATGCTAAAATAACTTTGCATGGCCTTAAATATGAACATGAGTCTATTAATTTACTTTAGATTAAAAAAAATCTGACCGACCGACTGGGGATTATAAAATTTTGAAACCCATGTAATGCAAAACGAAAAATCAACTTTAGGTGGCCTTATAGTTTTCAGATTACATTTTCAAGAATATACACCAACACGACCTCTTATTATTAGACGACTTCATATCTACTAAAGAAATTTTATTTTTAATATGAATTACCTAATGAAACCATGATAAATATCTTTAAATTTATTATAGCTCTAAATGTAGTAACAGTTGTCGATTGATAAGTACCGGTCAAACTTTTGTTACTATAAAATCTCGAAATAGCGGGCATGGGCGTTATTTTGAATCTTGGCCTGAATTAAGCTTAATTCGGGCCAAAATTTGAAATAATGCCCATGCCCGCTATTTGAGATTTTACGATAGTATGATTTGTATATAAAGTAATTATCTTAACTTTTCTAGCATTACTCAAAATTTTTGGCATAATAGTATAAGATTATTTCACAGGAAAAACTTTTTGTTAGTGCATAGAAGGCAGTTTAATAAGTAAATTGCTTTGATTTTTACACGTTATTATACTTGACCTTAAAATCTGATTGATTGGTAAAATTTTTTAGAGTGCAATACAAGTGCAATTCATAATTTTCAACCCTAATTCTGGGTCTGAAAACTCTTTGGGAAAGAAATTGAAAATGATTAGAAAAGATTTTCTACTAGAAACACTCAAAATAAAGAAATTTTATTAATAAATGTAGATATCTTTAGTTTAACTTACTGTGAGTAAGCAAACAGTGAAAATTGCGGTTTTTAAATTACAACCATATATTAAATTTTAATTGATATATATAATTTGTGTAACAATAATTTCAGAATCTATTGGATACAAGTTTCTTATATGCTCCCAAACTCTAACATATGTACTCTCCCTAACCTAACCTAACATAAAAAAAAACTTAACGAATTTTGTTGTTGGTCATGTGTATGGGTAGAGTCTTTGAACAAAAAAAAATTAGTTTATATTTTGATTTAGGTATTGTTATGGACAGAGAGAGCTACAGTATAGTAAAATTGCACAATATACTTTTTTTGTTGGAGGCAAAAGATCTATTAACTAGTCTAAATTTTAAGATAAGGCTATTCAAAGTTGAATAGTTGTTTAACTTATCCCCCCTCTCGGTTAGCTGTCCCCTGAGAAAGTGACTACTAATTATTCTGATTCTAAAACTAACTAAATTGTGAAATTAATCAACTACACAATCTAATTTAGACTTCAAGACTCCTAAAAACCTCGAGTTGGAAGGCAAAAAGGTAGGCGTGGAGAGACTTGATCCGAGATTCGAAGTCTTTCAGGTCTTGGAATAATGTTACTGGGCTTCGAAAAGTCTTTTGTATCCTTTTACTATTGTGTAGTTTTGATTGTATCCAGTTTCTAACTCTAACACTTCTGCTTGTTTTGAATTACAATATTTTGCTTCTTCCGGAGTTATGTATTACATCACTTGGATAAGTATGCTGATCAGAAGTTTAATAGTCGATTCAATCTAAGATTTACGTCATGGGTAAATCTATTAAAAATTGGATCTTCAATTAGCCGACATCACAGGGTTATGATATCACGAGTAATTGCGATGATCAATTAATTGTTCGATTAATTAATTAATTGTTTACTCAATTAGTGATAATAATGCGTCACGAGAAAATAAGATTTGTAATAAATGTATTTTGGTTATTAAAAAGAGTTCTATTCTATTATTCAATACTCTCTCTCCTATACTTGATGTTTACGATTTAAAGAGAATATATATGTGGTCACGGGGACAAGAGTTATACAATAAGTGTTTTTACACTATGTATTTTTGAAATTGGATTTTGCACTTCTTATAAGCGTTTAAACAAAGTTTTACTTTTACTTGTCTTAGGGTTTTTTTATTATAAGCGATAATTTTTATATTATGATTTGGAACAGAAAAATAGATCTTTTCGAAGAATGATTTGAGTCAAAAGAATAATTTAAGAAACAACTTCTATTATCAGGTCTTCAAAGTTAAAACTCCATAGAGTTCTATCTTTTATTTATGGTGAGCTAGAGGCTCTTATATACTAGAAGATTACAAACTAAAACTAGTTCAATTGAATTAATTGAATTAACACTAACTATAAATAGTAATTCCCAATATACCCTTCCAAAAATAGACTAAGAATAAAAAAAAAATACAAAAATAGAAGTAGATAATTGGACATAGCCCAATTTCCGGACTGGGTAATACCAATTCTAACTGTCACACCCCAGAAATTAAACAAGCCAATTATGATACAGGATAATCTTCAATAATCATGTGGTTAAAGTTGGCCTATAAGATTTAGTCAAATATTCTGTGTTGTATATGTGTTTGTTTAGATTTTCTCCCTCTCCCCTCGAGTTTGAGCTCAAATATTGACATTAAACAACTATTCAACTTTGAGCGGCCTAAATGTAAAACGAACATTTGTTTTGATAACTCAAATTTTAGGTTGGTAATACAAATTAAACCATAGTTTTAATCCTGACAAAGTTTAGCTTCTAATAATGCCAGAAAAATATATAAAATTTACTAAATACAAGTTTTGCTTGATATCGCTTATACATTATAAATTTCCGAGGGTAAAATTCACGTGATATTCTAGAAATTCGATTGGTTAATAATGTCGGATTTTGGGAATTTCTGAAAGAGAAAATGAATAAATATGAAAAATGGCAAGGTAAACCAAAATTTTGAGCAAATTTCCAATCTTTTCCAAAAAGGAAATTAAAAAAAATCACAAGTACCAGGAACGTTAGTATATGGTTTTACTGGCATCTAAAATGAAAGCAAAATCTTAAAGCTGATTGGTGTATATTTTTCTCATGACCATTACATGTTTTATATAACATAAAGTTTTTAATTTTAGAGGAGGTTAAAGCAGAGTAAAATTTAGTTAGGATCATGATGCAGTTAAAAGGTTTATATCTTTATATATCAAGAATGCGGTTTATGTAGCATGTAGATCATGTATTAATTAACTTCTACTCTAACTGCCCCAAATCAACAATTTCATGTTTAAAACTTATCATAAGATGATAAATATCACAAAAATTTTGGTTTGCAGTCCACAGCTTCTAAATGCCTAAAACAGTGAACGTGAAAGAAGGAACTTTAAGATTTATAACCAAACAAGAAACAAATGCTCAAGTAACTCAATATGACAAAGATATTCTTCAGGTATCTGACAATGAATACAACTTTATGCCTGATAATGGCGCCATGTTACACCCATGGAAGATATGGAAAAACTCCCTACAAAAATCTACAAGGATAACAAGTTACCCACGGAAACATAGCAAAAAATACTGCAAATGTTTCCAAGAAATACACTTATTAGATTTACCCCACTACCAATAGACAAAGAGTTGCTCAGAAAGATGTGAAAGAAAGCTAAAGATACCAATAAAATACTACAGAGAGTTTTATACCATGTTTCTTCCGCTCTTTAACCACTCAACTATTTAATTAGAGCGCTATACTAAACAAAACCAAGTGACGAGAATAAACAGGCTCTTAAAGCTTGGGAATATATGGAGTTATCACTTTTTTTTACAAGATCTTTGCTGTTGGACTCATTATTTTACATTAGTAAACAGTGACAGAAACAAGCAATTAAATGTATTAATTCAGCTCATCAAACAAAACCAGAGATCAAAACTTCTTTGATGACAAACTCATCGAGGTTATCAAAGCTGAAAATGAGAAGACAAAATTTTTTAATAAGCGTTATGGCAGGAAAAATGTACACAAAACCTTCAACCAGATACAGAGGACGAGGTTTTCATCAGAACACAGGTAATAGGAAGAATTATCAATGTAGTGAATCTAGTATGTGGTCACAAGATCAACAACTATGGAGGAAAAATACAAATTTTCTCCAGAACAATTCTCCATCTCAGCCACACCAGTAGAGGGGCAAATTGTAGCATGGCTAAGTCAATTCTATGCGAGGTAGGTACAAATAATTGGAGAATCGTGGGCCACGAATATAATAAAAGATGGATATGAGCTGTCATTGAGACAAGTATTATCATGGCAAAATGTCTCTTCGCAAGACATGAAAATGCTAGATATAGAAATAAAGAAGCTCTTAGTTCAAGGAACTATTATGGAAATTCCATTGAACGAACCCTGTTTTACCTCAAAGTTATTTCTAATTCCAAAACAAACAGGCGATGTACGCCCAGTAATAGATCTCAGAAATTTGAATATGTTCATATGCCGCAGCCATTTCAAAATGGAAGGTATTCATTTAGTGAAGACGCTATTAAAGCCAGAGAATTTCATGACTCGAATAGATATAAAAAGCAATTTTCATCATGTGCTACTCACTCCCAATTCATGAGCCTTTTTTGCCTTCAACTTTCGCAATACACATTATGCATTTATGGCATTGCCCTTTGGTCTGACAACAAGTCCTCTAATATTCACAAAAATTCTGAGACTGATAATGGAAGTATTGAGGGCCCAGGGTATCAAATTGATCATTTACTTAGATAATATTTTGATAATAGCAGAATCAAAAATGCAAGCACTTGCACACACACAAAGGGTTTGTAGAATGCTAGAATACCTTGGCTTCATAATCAACAAGAAAAAGTCCCAACCAGAGCCATCAGGAATGATAGAATTCCTGGGTTTCAACATAGACTCAGTAGAGATGACATTTACAATTCCAACAAGGAAAATAAAGACATCTTGAAGGAATGCGAAAGAGTAAGTACCATGAAAGAGATTCAGGTACGAAAATTAGCAGCTCTGTTAGACAAGCTAAATGCCACCACAGAAGCGATTTCACAGCAAAACTATTTCAAAAGCCCTACTCAGAGACATGAACTCAGCAATGAAGTGACAGGGATAGAATGGTGTAGCTCAGCTGTTCAGGAAAAGCAAACATCAATTGGGCCTTTTGATAAAGAATCTAGAGAGCTGAAACAGAAGAAAGATTCTACAGGACGCACCTTTCACAATAATCTGTACCAACACCTCCAGAATGAGATAGGGCGCAGTTTGAAAAGGCCAATAGCTTTTGGGCATTGGGAGAACCAGGCCCATCAAGAACACATAAATATTCTAGAGCTAAGAGTGGTGAAGAACGCATTGGCACTATTCAGGATTAGACGATTTTAATTCAGAGTGACAACATGACCATGGTTTTATATATCAACAAACAGGAACAGTTTTATCGTCTATGAGTCGATTAGCTAAGGAGATTTGGACGACATGTCTACACAGACAAGTGAAGCTAATTGTGGAACATATACTAGGTCATTTGAACGTAACAGCGAATCGTGCTTCACATATGAAAACAAATCGACATGATTGAATGATCAACAGGAAAATATTCAATTAGATTCAACAGGTGTGAGGGCCACAAAACCTGACATATTTGCCAACCATATAAACCATCTGACCCCAGCGTATATATCATGAAAAATGGACCCCGGGGCGATAGCTACCAATGCACTTCACATCTCATGGACAGGCTGGAGTATCTGGGCCAATTCTCTATAAATCTTATTACCCAGAGTTCTGGACAAAGTCATCAGAGAGAAGCTGACGATAGTAATATTATTCTCTCGATGGCCAGCATCTCTGTGGTTTCTGGTCCTACTATCACTTCTAGATGACCTACCTCAGAGACTACCAAACAACTCAGTGTTACCAACTAGGAATCTTGACCAATACTACTGGATACGCAGGTAGAATCTCTGCATGGCTCGTATATCAGGAGTCACCTTACGAACCAAGGCTTTTCAGAGAAGGCTATCACGTTATATGAATCAGCATTTGACGCCAATTACACAAGAACAGTATTGTCAAACATTATGAAGTGGTTATCTTGGTGAACTGAAAGACAAAGGAATCCCATTGTTGGATCTCTGAATAGTATTGTTGAATTTTTCAATGATTAGCTAGAAGCAGGAAAGGCGTACAACACTATTGTGGAATATAGATCAGCTATAAGTGAGAAACATGATTGGGTCACTTATAGAATCTCATCCAATTATAGTAAAAGCAATGAGGAGAGTTTACAATAAGAATCCACCACCCCCAACAGATAATAAGGTTGTTGATTTAGTCTCAGCCTTTGATAAGGTATGATCATTGGGAGATAATGACACCATGGATATCTTGTGGTTACTATGCAAAGTCACTTTCCTTTTAGCGATCACAACAGCAAGTAGACCCTCTGATTTAGCCAGAATTGAGGCCACATCAAAATTCGCCACTACCTCAGAAGCCATTTTTACAATAAGAAACCCTAAAAAACATAAAATATCTATAGCTCACAGAGGTAATAAACCTGCAACAAAGCGGATTTACGTCTCTGGCTGCCATGGACACTTTATTAAGTCACACCCAGGCCTGGTGTTTTACAGATGAACAAAAAGCCAGTTTATTATTAACTTCAACCGATATTCATAAGCCCCCATCGTCTGACACAGTGGCATGATGAATAAAAGATATCTTGATTGAGGCTTCTCCTAACTTTAAAGTGAAAGATATGAGATCTCTTGCAGCTTTTTATGCTCAGAATTCGGGCGTTGATTTATCAACCATTCTGGCGATAGGAAATTGGTCAAGTCATGGCATATATCAACAATTTTATAAAAGGGGTGTTATGAGCATGTTACAGAAGAATCAGGTTACATGGGTATTTTAACAGCAGCCAACAAGAGAAGGGACAATGATATAAATACTCCACAATAGTCATATGATCTGAGATATACTTACCGAGCGATGTTCATTTATTCAAATGTATGAACATATGTGAAATGCATTTGTAAATGGACGAGTGAGGTATGAATATCGAAAGATAATATTCCCACCCCCCACTCCCTTAAATATATAACATAGACAAACGGCCTAAAATAGTAGAAGTATTGTTAGAAGGGTATATATAGAGAAACAATTGTTGTATTATTTACGTATATTTCACAGAATCCACATGATTGAACGCAAACCAATAAAGCAGGCCTAGTCATATGATCTTTCGATATACATACCTCGCTCATCCATTTACAAATGCATTTCACATATGTTCATACATTTGAATAAATGATTGGCTTACATGTGCTGCGCAGCAGCACATGTAAGCCAATCATTTACTTTAATGGAGTGATATTCTGATGTCATTTGTAATGACTTCATTATTACGATCAATGGCTTGCTATTTAAAGAGGTCGTCTAAAGCCATGTAAGTTTTTAAATTGATTACCAAATTTGTAAATTAAAAACCACATGATGCATATAAATTACTGCCTGGCTTCAGACGGCCCCATTTAAAGTAAAATCGTTTTTAAATTTTGGCCAATTTTTGATTCGATTATAAAAAAAATGATTCATAATACCAGTACAATCACATGAAGCTGATTTTAGGTAAGTTCTGCATAATTTTTTTTTTAATAATATTAATCATAATAATTTCAATACAAGCTAACTAAACCTTAAATACTGTATATACCGCAAGATTCTGTGACAGAATTTTTTATTATAATAGAAATCACTCACTTTGAGCACTTGATGCGATCACTGGAATACAAGTAAGCTTATGACAAGATATTTACCGCAACTAATGTTGAAAAAAATCACAATAATTTCAATGCAAACTAACTCAACCTTATTATTAATAACTGTGTATTGTATTAGTAAATTCTGACTTTAGGTCACGCAAAGTTGATTTTTCGTTTTGCATTACATGGATTTCAAAATTAGGGACGGACGGATGGATTTTTTTTTGTATTTTTTTTTTTAAATTCAATTTACTGCAAATAGAATAATGATCACATTTAAGGTTATATTTGCACAACAAGGAATCAAAAAATTGGGCCGGCAATCATATTTTTCCTGTCAGTCCTATCGGACAATTACGGGAAATCAAGGTCTCCATCGGGTGAAAATAGCGGGAAAAAATAGATCTCAAAAATCGAACAATTGGCATAATTGGGATCTAAAAAAAAAAAAAATTTTGAAAAATTGAAAAAATGGGACGGCGGGTAATGCAAAATGAAAAATCAACTTTGCGTGGCCTTACAAGTAACTCACGGTAGAAATTACAACAATCCTGACTGTTATATACTACTGGGATAGCAAGTGAGTTTTTACAAGAATATTTACAATAACTCATGAAAGTGATAACTGAAGATTTTTCAAAACCTCGTAATAGAAATCACAATAATTTGAATGCAACCAACTCAATCGCATAAGCATCACCAGGTAGTGGATAATTATATAGATCTAAGCATATCCTATTGGTATTTTTATTCCAAGTTTTACTGTACAAATAACTTACATATTTTGAATTTTACTTGCATGCGTGATCGTACTGTGCTGCAACACATGTTTCGCAGCTATCTTATTCGTAATTATTTATACTACGATCTCGTATACACACGCGACAAATGTCATGATTGTTGCATTTTTTATAATGGCAAGTATTATACCTTGTAATTATCAATTGATGCACTGAATCATGATTTTCTAAAAACTAAAGAATAAAAAAATCATTCCTGCCAAAATAGAACTTCATGTGATCGTACTTAGGTTTATAGCGACCTCAAGTCAGCATCAGCTGCTATAATTGAATAAAAATATATTAATTTTTTAAAAAAACAGCATGCGATCTGCAGTGTTATACTTGGTGCCAATATTCTAATTATATCACGTTTCTGGTTTTAGCGCGACTGCGTCGCGCAGCTATCCTAATAGTTATTATACATAATTAATCAAAGGTTAATAGACAAATTTAATTGGTTAACTATTGTTTATATAATATCTAAATAGCAGATTAGTTGATTATTCGGATTAGTCGACTAGTCATTAGTCGATTAGTCGACTAATTGATTAGTCAGTCGACAACTAATGGATTTAGGCCGTTCTCAAGCATCTAAATCAATTGATTAATGAATGATCGTGATGACGCTCAAGCATCACAATCAATGGCGATATTTATAGAATTAAATGCTTGAGCATACTCTTTTT